TATTATAAGATGAATTGATAGAAAATGTAATACTAGATACAGTTTTGTTATTATTATATTTGTCAATATGTTGAATTAGGATTTGAATAGTTTGATCATAAAGGAGAAGTAATAAATAATAATAGAGAAGGAATTTGTTAAAACATGTATGAAGATTATAGGAAATTAAAGATATTGTAAATGATCTTTCAAAATTGTCTTTTACAGAGTTGATCACTGTATGCTCGGCTCTCACAACTGTGCAAGGTACCATAGTCTGCTTTGTACGTTGAATCTAACTATCATTATCTTGGTCTTTTTATATAAACTTTTTATTTTTATTTCTTAATATAATTTTAGAATATAATAATAGTTTTATGCAAGTATAATGTAAATATTATTGTAAACCAGAGATATGAACATTTAAAGGTTTTTGTGATGCAATTATAGATATGTATGACACTATAAAAAAATTCAAATTTAATAAATATAGAATTGAATATAATGATTATAAAAATTTTTAAAATAATAACAATAACTTATATATAACAGTATAAAGTAATCCAAGTAATAATGATGTGTTTGTCTACTTGTAATTTATTTACCAATTTATGGTTTAGACTTTCAAATATAAAATTTAATTAAATTTCTTTGACTTCGTTTCGATTTTTTGCTTAAAATTTCATTTATAAATTGACTATTTTGATTGGCTAGTTGGCATGCGACAATCACTCAACATTCGTGTAACAATTTTCCATATTTGGGACGTTCTTACCTGTATATCCCGAATCGAAATAAATTCCGAAAGGAAAAATTGAGCAATGCTCCGAAGTATTCCGAAAGGTTATTTTATAGTAGACGATAACCGACCAATTCAAATTGAGTATCTCGTGGTTTAATGGCATGCCAGGGTGGCATTCTGGCACGAACTTTAGCGATTGGCATGCCATATGGCATGTAAGATTTTTTAGCCATGCCACTCACCCAAGTGGACACACATCTCCCGTAATGTCCTTCGGACAATTAATCAACTAAAGATGTGTCTACATTCTATTTTGATTTAATTATACTGAAGGGTTAACCTGAAGCTACCGTTTAAATAATCACCTATTTGTCTATTTAAAAAACCCTAAAATCTACATGATCTTATTAATCCGCAATTGCTTATAAACTATTGACCGTTCACCAACAATTAATTTACAGACAAGCTTATTTTATCGACAATTAATTCATTAATTCACAGACAGATTATTTCACCAACAAAGTAATTCTGATCACTGTCGTCAGGCTTCAGGGTTTCAATTAGAGTTAACGTTAAGATTAGTGCAATTTATAAAAAGACTTGTTGATAAAATGTATATACATGCGTAGAAATTGGTTGCGCCTACAGTATGTCGAAAGTATTTAGGCACCAAGTTTTTGAAATAAAGCCGTAATCTTAAGCAAAAGTCGAAATCTAAAATACAAGCCATAACGATAATAGCCACAATTTTATATTATAATTTTAGTATACATTCATAGAAACTATTTCGGCATTGTAAATTTGCTTCGGCATATAAAGCTTCTGAGACAACACAGCAATTTCATATCAAAAAATAAATGTAGGAATACTTTTAATTAAGTCAAAATGGGGTTTTTATGATATGTACATTTACGGCATTAATCTTGACTTAAAGCATTGACCATTAGTTGCGGCACAAATTTTAGATTTAGTCAATGCTGCATGCCAAAATTCAGATGAAATTATGCCGAAATACTTTCTACGGCATGTATAGTGAAATGAGATGTCTAAGCTTGTCTGAAAATTAATCGTCGGTAAATAAGTTTGTCTGTAAATTAATTGTCGGTGAACTAAGTTGTCGGAGAAAGAAATAATATGGATCCTATCCTATTTATATGTCGGAAATAAAAATATTTCTTTTAAGTTAAATAATATTGGACCTTTGTCAATAAATGTTCCTTCGGAACTATATAAGGACTATACAAAATATAGTTCTAAAGAATTATTTTGCTAACAAAGAATTTATATATTTACTTTCATCCTTGCTCATAATTCGTAACAATTCTATTAATCAAAAAAAACACCTACGTAGTGCATGATTAGGCGTAAGGACTTATTTGTAAATTATCACATTATGTGATCGTACGAACATATGTATGTATTTATCATTTATATTATGTATTATGTGATATATTTTTAGATATAACAAAAGAACGATACGTAGAACAACGAGTTATACAAAAGGATTCCAAAATTCCTTGATTTAGGCGATACTGGTAAGTCAACAGTAATTATACGTAGCAAAATTATCATGCAAACATTTTTTACTTATTGAGTGGGTTATGTCTTAATTAGTAAATTTTTTGAGCCATTGTGAAAGGAATTTAAAGAATTGTTTAGCGTGAGTTTAGGACACCAATAATAAAGAACTTTTATTAATTTATACTCGATTCAGTGTAACATTTTCATGTGTTAGTATTTATCGAAAAAAAAGATTAAGCATTGTACGGTATTATTACCGATGATTTGCATTTTGAATTATTTAAAATTTCCTTATGCATGATATAAAATATGTAATAGAGAGACACGATCACGAAGAAACATTGAATTTATAGGTCAAAATTTGGTTATGATCAAATGCTATATCTGATTTAGCCTAATTCAGAGAAACTCAAAGATTCCTTGTATGGAAAAGGTCAGTTGACATTAACATGCATAAAGTAATAAAGTAGTCTTTATTTTTCAATTGTATTGTCGATCTTCATATAGATACTGGTGGCCTTTTTTTTGCCATTTTTCCTATTTTTGCTGAGGGCATTTCCGATAACAGTATCGGTATACAGAAGCACTACTCCGTAAATTGCCAGGATCATTGAATGGCATTAGGTAATGTATATGTACGTAAATTAATACTATTGATAACAATACGAATGTATTGTAAAAACAAATACGTACATACCTACGTATAGTACATGCGTATTTATTTTTTTTATTAATGTATTTTCCATAAATTATTCGATAAATTAGATGGAGAATATTTTCTTCAAAAAGATGTATCTCTACGTAATTTCATTGACATTTCCGGACTTTATACATTATTCATTAATTGAAAAATTAATTGAGTATCCTTGTCAACTTCCTACTTATAAATCTAATATGAAAGGGCCCTTGTAAATGCAGATAAAGGCGTGTAACAATTACACATTACCTAAAAAATTCAATGTACCACTATTTTTCTTTTTGTTGTAAAAAGCATAATCGAGTAATGCATTATTTTTATTTCTGCATATTTAGAAACAATAAAATATTTTTGGATTACAAATAAAAATTAATCGGCACCTTTTTTTTACATATTTTTTTACATATGTTTGTGCGTACAAATACTAAAATCATACGGGAATTATCTTATCCTAAAAAACCTTTTATTAACATTGTTTTTCTTATTAAGATATGGTTTGGAGGGTTACCCTTTCTTCCATCGTTTATTTTCACAATTTTGACAATTTGTGAAAAAAAAAAGACGGCTTTGATAGCGTCTATAATACTTATAGATAATACATAATATATGTATATATATAGATATATCTAGTAATTAAACGTTAATGTATTTTTCTGAAAACAAACAAAAATTAAGTACAACCTTGAGTTTTTAATTTGTTACGGTTGATCTAAACTTTAAAGTTTATAGTCGAAAAAAAACACGCTAATACCCTGCAGAGAACAATATTCGATTATTATTAAGATTACTCTCCATCGAATCATACCTCAAATAATACCGGTACCTCGAATAATATTTCGAATAATACCTATTTACTACTATATCGACACGCGTTATCAAGTTACATTTACATATTCGAATATATATTTTTTTTAATATAGTAATAAAAAATGGGACAAAGAATCACTAAATTTCGCAGTTCTAAGATTTCTAAGAAAAGAAAAGTCAAGAAAGTCAAGAATAAAGTCTGTGCTGAATGTCACAAACCAACTTTGACAACGTATTGGAATTGGTGTCAAAGTTGTAATTCCTCTCATTTTTGTGATAATTTTTCGAATTGGTCTAGTAATAATCCTCACCTGGATCAATTAATTCAAGAAGTTCAATTACAAGCAGAATGTAGTGAACAAGTAATAGAATGGATACCTTTTGAAAAGTTTAAGAATATTAAATTTATGGCTCAGGGTGGTTTCGGTGACATATCTTATGCTATTTGGGAGGAAGGACAAATTTATAATTGGGATGTGAAACGAAATAATTGGAGGAGAAGAGGTGAACATACTGTTGCCTTAAAAAGATTGAAAAAAACAGAATACACTTCTGATGATGTTTTGAATGTGGTATGCATAAGAAATTTATTGATTGTTTTTTTTAAAAACAAAATGCTTGGATAAGATCTCTTTTTAAGCTTTAAAAATCTTTATTATTAGTTAAAATCATTACACTCAGTAACTCGTCAAAAAATCTCTTTCGAAGTGGTTCATTGTTTTGGCATAAGCAAAGATCCAAAAACCAATGAATATATAATAGTAATGTCATTCGCTGAAAATGGTGGCCTTCGAAACTACCTAATAAATCATAATTTAAATATAGATTGGCCAACTCGAATCAGTTTCTTATTAAAAATCCTTCAAGGTCTTGAAATAATTCATAATACTGGGTTAATACATGGTGATTTTCATAGTGGTAATATATTAATGGGAAAAAAGTATCCGATGATTTCGGATTTTGGTTTAAGTCTTCTCCAGAGTGATGAACAATTTGATCGAGAAGAATCTTCAAGCTTTGATAGAAGTAGCAGTGGTGATAGTATTAATAGTAATAATAATAATGAATATATATATGGTGTAATCCCATATATAGCACCTGAAATATTAAATGGTTATCCACCCTCTGTTGCTTCAGATATTTATTCTTTCGGAATGATAATGTACGAATTATTAACTCTCAAACAACCATTTCATGATATTCCACATACACTATCTTTAATTTCATGTGTCGTATCAGATAATCTTCGTCCTTCGTTAATCAATGTTCAACATCCTAAATGTTGGATCGCATTAATGAAACAATGTTGGGACGCTGATCCTGCAAGACGACCAACTTGTGATGACTTGAAAATGATATTGGATAAGTGGTACGCTTTGATATGTACTAATGTTATCGGTAATCGGGTTGATTTAGAAACATTAAGAGATTTTAGAGATGCTGAAAATGTGAGAATTAAAATGATAGAGACGAATGATGATGGGATGTTTGAGACCGGTGAATTTAATAGGCATAAAGATGCTGTTTATACTAGTAGATTGATTCCTACAATGACTCTTGCTCAAAACTTGGAAAAAAAGATGAATCGAGAAGATATTGAAGGTATTTTCAATTTATAAATTTATTACAAGATATTAAAAATATTAAAAAGATTTTTATTTATTTATATAATAGATTATATAAATTCACAATATAATCTCATAAATCCATCTCAAGCTGGTAATACCAAAAGCAAAATAAAAATTCAATATGAACAATGGTAGCGTAATAGTATCTTTTATTTATTTTACGTATACTTTAATTTTGTTATCGTTATATTGATTATTAATATTATTTTTATAAATTTAGGAAACTTGGTTTAAAAGTTTAAACAGGGAAAAAGTTATTAATATAATACAAAGTATATACAATAATTAGATGGAATCAAAATATTTTGTTTGAATGTATAGATTATGTTTTTTTGGTTTATTTCAGATTTGATATCTTGAAAATAATAATAAAATTTCGTGACTTTAATATTAATATGAATAATTTTTACATTGTTTTTTCAATCGTGTTATGTATAGACTATGATTTCGCATGGATAAATTAGTCAATTAAAAATTTCAAATGGTCTTACTATAAAAGTTTTATAAAGATAAATAATTGTCTTTTTTATTAACAAATTAAAGGTAGAAATTACACGTAATTTTTTTATTAATTATAAGGTATAAAACAAAATAAATTCTTACACCCTTCGCTAGAAATTTTATCACGTAACTCGCGTGGAATCGCGTGATATAATCTCGCATGAGATATGTGAAATATATGCTGTTTTATCTGACACGAGGAAAATCTCTACGTATTCTAAATCTCCTCTTATTATATAAGAATAATTTTAATTTAGTTTAAAAATCAAACCCGATTTTTTTGCATCTATATGACATTTTGAATAATAAGTACTTTTATCCAAATAATGTATCAAATATATCAGCAAATTAATGTTTACATCGCGTTATTTCGATTATATGTAAATCGATATTTTTAGGCCAAATCGATATTTTTGAAATTTTTAATGCGGTGTAACAATACCACTTCGGGCAAAATTAAGTGTATAATTTGGGCCGGACAACACAAACTTGGCCAACCCAATCGGAATCAACAACCCAAAATTGTACAATCACTGCTTTATGATTAGATTATAATTATATTTACAGTATTGTGATTAGATTATTCAGGTAAATTATATATGCCGGGTAACTTCACCAGAATAATCACTCAGATATTTATGATATTTATGAACAGGTTATTAATTAAACTAGCGCTAGGTAGTGAAATAAAAGATTATTTACTGTATATAATTGAAATAGGCGGTCATTTTGGTAATAAAATAGACCAATGGACTGAACAAAAACAACATATTTGCAGGGATGCAAAAAGGTTATATCCTGTATCCTAATTTTATTAGACATAGTTATATAAATGTACAAAACTTTCAAGATATCTACAATATTTAGCAATGCGTTAAACCAATATATAGCATGAGTTAAACAATATATAGCATTAGTTAAAAATTATACGCAAATATCAATAATATGATGCAAAAAAGGTTAATTAATAAAATTGATGATTTCTTTAGCAAACTTAAAGGTTTCAAAAATAGTATTTTCAAAATCAAATTCCTCATTGGTTCGCCAAGAAAGATGTTTTACGCTAATAGAGTCTTCGTTCTTAACTTTTCCCCCGTTATCACGACAAGTTGTATCAATAGTGAGCTGAAACTTGTCATTACTTTTTTTTTTTTTAAAAAAAAAAAGATCGAGTTAAATTCAAACTTTAACAAAACTTTAAAGTTAATAATGTTTTAAAGTTTAATAGAGTGTACATACTAAAAACATCGTTTCATAAATGTCTGTTGGACACAGACGCATTCTATACCGGGGAAATCTTTACAGGCAAACCAAAGTCCATTAAAATCTTTAGTTTTTGGTTTCTCTTGTAATTTTTTCACAATATCGTTTAAAAAATTTTCCCATCTGTGATCATATTGACTTTTTACAGAAAGTCTTAAATCTGGATCATCAGATCCTGAAATAATGTCGACGCAAGCTAATATAATAAATATAATAAATATAATAAAGTGAATTAATTTATTGCTTAACAAGATAACAGATAACATCTTTTTTTTACAAGAACTTACAAACACGTTCAACGTTTGCTGCTGCTCTGGTGATTTTCCAAACACCTAATCACTGAAAACTTTAATATTAGACTTAAAAAGAAAACTCAATATTAAATTTATATAGACCTTTATCCCATTCCAACTTTAATTTATTCTTCTTTCCTTTTTTCATATAAAAGACTCTAATACTTCTTTTGTCTTTTTCATGATTTTCAATTCTTTCTTCTAATCCAAACTTTTCCTTAATTAGATCAATCTTATCAAGTATTTTAGAAAAATGATAATGATTGAATGTAGTTGAAACGGGAGATTCTCCATTTCTTTTAAATCTGACCCAATGCTTCACGTCAAATTCAAACATATCATTAATTTTCGTGAAAATTTCACGACCAAAAAAGATACACATCCTCATTTGTTTCCTTTGATTAGGAAATTTAGAATCAACCTCTTTTATTTCACGAGAAATGTCTTTTATACATTCTTCAAGTTTATCTGAAGTACTAAAAGAATCATATTCTAATGAGGGCAATAATAATCCATATTTTAAGGCGTTTGTCAAATCATCAATCACATCATTATCTTTGTTAAAAGGTTTTTCTGGTGCTCTTTTTACAATATATTTTGGCCTTTGATCTGATTCATTTATAGTATCATTATCAATAAATTCGGAAAATCGAATAATTGCTTCATTTGCAATAGTTTTGTTTGAAAATTCATAAAATCGATATTTTATATCTTTCATATTATCATTTTCACCAATATCCAACAAAGTAAATCCAAATTTCATTCTGGAATACGTTTGTTTAACTCTAGCTTCTGTAGGAGTTGTACCATTTTGTCTATTTGTTGAATTACGTCTACCGCTACCTGAAAATGGTCTATGATAATTAGGTGCGGTATAACTATTAACATTAAAAAAAAAAAAAAAAATTTGGATAAAAAAAATTCACGTTATTAAAAATTATATCTTTTTTTTTTTTTAAGTATTTCTTCTATTTTATTTATTAAAATAAATTGATTTTTAATTTATCATAATCATTTTCTTTTACCTGTTTCTGCTCTTTATCATCTTTGGGAAAAAGTTTAAAAAATAAACACACGCTTGATGTATCTAACTTTTTATATTTACGTTAAGATGTAATATGATTGGATAATCTCGATAATTCTCACACTTACTTCGTCGTCTGCGCAAAAATAAAATAAGTACGAATCGGAATTCTTAAAATATTTTGTATAACGATATAAGGTTTACGAAAAAAAAAGAACAACCATAAAACCGCAGGCTTGTAAATCTTATATCTAGAAGTGGGATACGTACGCTTTTCATCAATTCAGATAAATGGATAATCGGATAAACTTTGACTACGTATTTAAAAATAGAACAATGACACGATAACGATAAACATAACTCTAAAATTTAGTTAGCCAATGACGACTTGTAAAAACATGATCATGAGTTGCATGCGGTATCCGTAAACGGATAATCCTTATAACGATAACCCCCACTACAATTTTACTTATTACTTATCCTTTAGTTAATATTAAGTCCCGGTGTGAGCAATTAAACCAAGATTAAGTTACTGAAAACAGAATTGAGAATTAGACTATTCCTTACGTACGTACTTATTTGAGTAAAATTAAGAATACATAATAATTTTGTTCGTCTCCTACGTATTTGTGATACTTAACTCCATGATTTCCGTTATCTTAGATATATAAATATATATAGTACTCATAATTTCAGCAACAACAAAAGCATTTGATATTGCAATTACGAATTCTAATAAATACAAGTCTGTTTAATATGACTGATTTGTTTTTTTTTTTGAGTTTCGAAGTTTTCATTTTTATTTTTAATTCTTTGATTTTCTCATCTAATTGAATTTATAGTGATACATGATTTTAACAATTACTGTGCATTTAATATAAACAATTGCGGATAGCTGTACGTACTATATTTAAATTTTATAACAGATAAGGGTGATTATATACGTACAGCATAACCTTGAGTTTATGAATATCAAAATCTTGATATTGGATAATAAAAGTACTTGCACGTGACAAGCGTGAAAAGTCCTCGGGAAATCTATGGACAGTGCAAATTCACGTGTTTAAGTTGTGATTGGTTATTTAGCGGTTAGGGGAGAGGATTTCATATTATATCATGTGATTGCACTGTCCCTAAGATTTACCCCAGTATCGCCGGAGAGTCTACGGACAGTTCTTACGGACAGTTAGGGACAGTGCGATTCACGTGATATTACTAAAACCACTCACCCTAACTGTCCCTAACTAACTATTCACATGATTTGAACTGTCCCTAAAAACTGTCCGTAGATTGTCCGCAGTATCGCCATAAAAAATTTCACCCCCACGTGACCTGCCGTAACGTGATTGGCACATTTGTATACTTGAAAATAAAATTATCGTAGTTAAAAATTCTAAACATTTTTACAAATTAGACAAATTTATATCGATAATTTTTTCAAATTTAAATTTTAAAGGCAAAATAAAAAAGAATCATGACATTCATAATTATATACAGCATATTATAAAGACCAAACATGTATTAATATAAATAAAAATTTTAAGCAATATGCTTAAAAATTATTAATTAACAATTATCATTATATTTTTAATTAAATTGATACCCGCTTGTTTCTTTTTTTTGTGATTTATATTACAAGATGCTATTTAAAACTCTATTTTGGCCAAATCAGACAAGAATTTAATAATATATATTAAGAAGAAAACACTGTAAATGTAAGTTCTTCATATTACTACAGAATGTTAGATAAAATAAATAAGAGATTAGTAATATACTATAGGCTTTAGTATGTTAAACAGATCAATTAATTATGTGCTCACCAAATTAAAGCAATTGTGTAAATGCTAAACATTAAATATATAAATTAATAAATAATAGTAGTGATTAGCATCAATATATCGAAGATTAGTAAATATTATAAGTTTGAATAACAAATAAATAAATTGTACATGTCAGTTACTGAATCTAGTATTACATTAATTCATACACTACTTCGATCTTGAAAGTTTTAAAAGATTTGCTATCTCCACCAATAATGGTTTTTAAAATATCACAAACGTGAATAACTTAAAAAACAGATTAGCTAATAAATAGTTGTAATATTTACCAATTACTATATTAAGTGTTAATGTTCATACACTACTGGTTTTGCTGTCTTTTCAAATAATGGCACCAACCTTACTACTTGAAATGTAGGTTATAATAGTTGAACGATTACCTTTATTCTGTAAAATACAATGATTAAATGCATCACTGTTAATATCATTGACACATTGTTGAATAACCTTTTTTAATATTCTTAACATCATTCAGTAAATATAAATAATTATAATTGAATTAAATAATGATTATTTTCAAATAGCTAGTCATGATACTCACATATAAATTAGAGCTAATAAATGAAATAAAATAGAATAGTGAAATATTAAATTAAAAAAAAAGAGTGATATTTTAAATACCAATTATAAATAATAAAATTCTATTTTATTAAAAAAAAAAATAATACTGCATTATAATTTAAAAAAAAATTAGATAGCCAAAAAAATATTTTCATAATATTGAACTATTATATATAAAAAAAAAAAAGCAATTTAGCTTGATTTATTAATACCTTTTAAAGCATATATTTAAAGCATACATGTATTATGCAAATTATCTAATTAAAAAACAGTATATTATGTAAATAATCATCAAATGTTTGGGGTATTGTTTTTCTTCACTTATACAAAGAAATTTCATTCACTATTTTTTCAATTGGTCAAAAATTTTTTTCCATATTTTTTAATTACCTAAAATTTCCTTTGTTCTGTTGGTCTTCAAGAATTTCAAGCATTTTTTTTGTTGCATTAATAAGTCTAATATACAACTGATTAGTACTTTGCATATCCTCTTTGTTTTCAATAATTTCAAGATTTGTAGCATTATTATTATAAGAAATAGGTTGTTTAGTATTATTAGCTTGTATATTCGAAGTGCCAAGAAATGGGTATTGGTGATAATGATGAACTTGATCAAAAAATTCAATTGGCACAGTTCCTTTTTGTAATACAAGATGTTTACAAATAAGGAAACAGTTGGTCAGAAAAGATGAACATTCACATACCTAATTTGAGATATCAATAAATAAGAATTTTGTATTGTACAAGTTTCTAATTTTTTTCATTCTCTCTTAAACACCTTGCACCATTCTGCTTTTTCAATACTAATGAGAATTTGTTTAAGTTTTTTTCATTGCTGTGAAATTATTTGTGTCATAATAGTAAAAACTACTAGATCCAAACATGGACGAAAAAAATTTATACAGAAAATCACACTTCAATACTTTCTAATGATCTTCTACAAACATATTCATTTTAAAAATAGAAATTTTTGTACTATAACCTGCATGAAATTATAGAAACCAGCACTCTGAATTGTATCATTCATTTCACATATATATCTAAAGATATGTTAATAAATATTATTGACAGAAGTTGTAAATTTTTTGTACTGCTATTACCCAAATTTCTTGCACTATTAAATATTTACCATTATTTGTAGGTATTAAAGAATGTAAATGTAAATGGTGATTCATCATTTCTCATATAATTCTACGAAACTGTTTAGGACAAAAAACATAATTCATCATCTTATTAAGTTGTGGGCGAAATTTAGAATTAATAAAATTGAATTGATTATGTGCTGTTATCCTATATCTACTTCTTTTAAGATAGTAGGTAACTAGAGCGATCTTAGACAGTGAACACTTTTTGTAACCTC